AGCCTAGGTGGTGAGGCTCCTCTCAGAGACCTCTACCAGCCCAGCAAAAGCAGTATCACAGGCCTTTGTGGGGGCACAGCAGCCCCAGCACACAGCCCAGCAGCCCAGCAGACACACATTTTCAAAATCATGGTCCTCTCACCAGGGATACAGCCAGGATGGGGAAAGGGAACAGCGCAGAAGGCCCTGAAATTCTCAGTGTGCTAAATACAGTCAGCAGAGGTCAAAGCTTGAAGGAACACAGGTTTCTTGGGGGGTTCCATCACCTTCCAAAGAAACAGTAGGAGTTCTGGCAGCTGGGGGTCTCATGGAAATCTACAGCACATCAGCAGCACACATTACCAGACTGATCAAATGCCCTCATTGCTTTGGGCTTTCATTTCTGCAGACCCTATGGAAACACCCTCATCTTCCACATGATCACTCTTGCAAACTATCTTAGGATAGTGAATTATCTGGGGTAAGCCACCCTAACTGTCTGCTGATGCACTGGGGTTTTCTTTCTTCACAGCTAAGAAGAGAATGGTGGGGGAGGAATTAATTTAAGCAAGAACCTGCCAACCTGGCTCCCATCCAAACTGTACTATCTTTTTACTACTGTGCACCTCGTGCAGGTTCCTCCAGCCTCTGTTTTCTCAAGGAAATACTGAATGATAACATATGATGAATGATAATGTGGGAGACTTCCCTGACACCATTCTCCAGCTCCAAAAGGAGCTACATTCCGTACTTTGTTTTCCTCCCAAAGAGCAGGAGCATGGCTCTGCCACTGGGCAGTGCAGGGCTCTAAGGGTTCCTGCACTCTTCAGCCAGAGAAACACTCCCACAGTGCCTTCTCTCCCTCTGAATGGAGCCAAGCAGCCATCACAGACCCCCCTCCCACACCTGTAATTCCAATTCCCTCCCCTGTTTCCAGTTGAGGAGGGTGTTGTTTGGGGTGTCTGTGGGTGCCAATCACACTCTGATCAAAAACAGGGCTGCAAAAGAAGAGTTATTTTAAAAGAAGACCCTACACCATTCCCAGAGTGGAGAAGCCTTACCAGATGCAGGTGGCACAAAGCTCAACTGCTGAAACTGAGGACAAGAGCAAACAGAAATGAACTGGGGGGGGAAATTAAAAGAACCTCACATTTTCAGTTTTTGTACTGCTGTTTTTACCGTGGAAAAGTGGAACAAATTTAATCCTTAGCATAACTCTAAACTGCACATATTAATTACGCAGAGAAAGGGAGATAATATATTTTAATGTTAAAAAAAAAAAAAAAAAAAAGCCAGACACCTTTGGCCATTGAACGTGAGTGAAATGGGACTTCCAAATGGCTGGATAGCCTGAGGGAAGCAATGTGCTATCAGTCCCGGGTCGTTGTCTGCTACTGTAATCTTCCCCCTACAAATAAATCCCTATTAATTAATTTATTAATTTAGGGCTGCCTAAAGCGAACCAGCCCATGGGGGCAATTTGCTCTCTGTATAAAGAAAATAAAAAGAAGAGGGGAACCCCCCTTTCAGCGCTGCACCCTGGGTGAGGAAGCAGCTCTGCCTGCCTCCTGCGCCAGGGCACATGCTGGCTGGTGCTTACCTTTTAAAAGCAATTGAAGGCGGTGTGCGCTCGGTGCGAGGCGGCTCCGGCACGTGTGTCACCCATGCGTGTCTGCTTCGCCATCGGCGTGTATGGCTCATCATCTGTCTGCTCTGAACAATAACTGTTAGGTTAGCAGCCTTTTCACTTGTAAATGTAAATATTGTATCTAGAACACAATATTTGAAACACAAAATACGGTGTTATTAAGACAGCACTCACACATCAATTCTTGTGTGACTATAATTTGTGAAATGCCTTAGGAGGGGCTTATAAATAAAGTATAAGGTGTTATTATGAAATACATTTTAACCAAATGCACAGAAATATCTCGTTCCTATTGAAATCAATAGCAAAACTCCCACTAATTTCAGCGGTGAAAAGAGGAGACCCTTGGAAATCGCTGCGTTACACTGAGCAAACACATCACAGCACATTTCACTCTTCACAAGTAACACAGCTCTGGAAGAAAAAAAGGGGGTGAAGATGGATATTAGAACACGCTGAAGATTTTCGTCCCCCACTCCTGCTGCCGGCTGCAGTGCCTGGCGAGGCAGCACGTCCCCACGGAGCCATCCGTCCGTCCATCCATCCATCCATCCATCCATCCATCCATCCATCCATCCATCCATCCATCCATCCCCTGCCCGCTCCCAGCTGCGCTCCCGGGCTGCCCCGGGGATGCGGCACCGGGGCTGGGGCGGCTCCAGCGGGGGTTCCGGGCCGATCCCGCCCGGGGCGGTGCCCCTTGGCTGGGCTGGCAGCAGGACAAGGCTGCCCGTGCCCCGCGGAGCGCCCCGGGCGCTGCGGGCACCGAGCGCGCCCCGGCTTCTCCCCGATGTGCAGCCAGCCAGGCGGGCACTTCTCCCCTTCCACAGGGCACGGCAAGGAGCCAGCGAGCCAGAAATGTCTCCTCTCCGCCACGGCCAGCCGGGCTGTCACTGAAATCATCCCAAAGTCCATCCGCGCACATCCCGCGGCTTTGTCGCACGGCCCCCGCCCGGAGCAGCCCGGCAGGGAAAACCTTGGGAAGGGCTGGGAATGCACCATGGAAGGGCTGGCAAGGCCGGGAGAAGCCGGGAAGGGCAGGGAAGAGCCATGGGGAGCTGCCCTTGCCCGCGCATCGGCACCGGCAGGAACAGCGAGCAGCGCGCAGAAGTTGTCGGGGGAGGAAGGGATGGGAAGCTCTTTTTCCGTTCCAGGTTGAGCAGAAGTTGGCGTTTCCATAACAAGCTGCATTAGTGGGTATAAACACGGTAATTAGCTGTAGAAGTGCTGGGTTTGTACCTGTAATTAATTGTTCCCGGATTCAAGTTAGCTGTGTGAGGAGGGACCTGCCTGTTGTGGTGTTTAATGCAATTTATCTCTTGCTTATAAATACATAACGTCCAGGTCTGATAAAAATTTACTAAATGTACTAAAAAATGTACTAAATGTACTTTAAAAATGTACTAAATGTATTAAAAAAATTTAAAACTGATGTTTCCTTGACATTTGTGAACAGATGCCTTTAAAACTTAAAATATACTTAAAACTGACCAGTATCAAAATCAAAGCTCATTTTTGCTGGCTTTAAGCTCTTCATTTTAATAATGAAGACCATCATCTCATGCTTTGAGCAAAGCTGCTCTTTTTCCCCAAAGGCTCCTGAGTTTACGTGCATTTAATCTCATCTGCAGCACTGCAGCCACCTCAGCAGCACAGCCCTGCTAGCCCGAGTCTCCAGTGAAGTGCTATCTGCGGTGACAAATATGCCAAAAGGAAAACATAACCAGCCTGGATGGTACCTCTGCTTTACAAAGGCTGCTTGTGATGCCTGTGCTTTGACTCAAAACTCCCCGCACATTGGCTTTTTAATCATGAGATCCCTTTTTTCAGCACAGCATCGAGAGTAACAACTGCAGCACAATGAGCCAGCTTCATAGATATGGGAATGTTTAGATTTCCCTGCCAGTGACTAAAGGCCTTTAGCTTTCACTAGCCAGTCCCAGCTCGCATTGTTGTTGCCTGTTGATTTGTCTTCTCTCATTATTCCTTGACATGCAGCTCTCCACCCACGCCCACACTAACAACCCTCACACAAAGCACATTGAGGTATTAACCAGGTTACAAGTTCAATGGAAAATTACACTAAGATTGTGCTGTGTGGCAATATAAAGGGATGGCATTCACTCTCCCAAAGAGCCTGTTAAAAACGCAGCTGGGTTGTTTTTTTCCCCCTTTCAAGCATCCTAACAAAAACAATTTTTAGAAGTGGGGGGTGTATATCTGGGTGTACGTGTGTCCGTGCGTCCTTTAGGTACAACGGGGACAGACAGACACAGGCCTGGCACGGTGCAAATCCCCTCTGGAAATTCTGCTGGATTCTGGAGTTCATTTAGAGCATCCCCAGAAACCCCAGCTAAATAAACAACCTCCTCCTGCTCTCAGCTAGATACGTGAACCTATCTTCTTTTTGTTAGCCCAACTTACAGGCTGGTGGAAGGGCTGAAAGTCTGTAGAAGTGTTCCTTAAGAACCTCTCCTTACTGAAAATAAAATCAAAATTAAACTCATGGTTGTCTTGTTTTTGTTAGCCCAAATTACAGGCTGGTGGAAGGGCTGAAACTCTATAAAAGTGTTCCTTAAGAGCCCCTCCTTACTGAAAACTGAAAATAAAATCAAAATAAAACTTAACGAGATTAACCTAGCACAGTAACAAAATTTGCAACACCACACTATAAGGTTAAAAAGAAAATAGTATAATAAAGGAAATACAAAGGCTTTGGCATGGTTTTTACAATCAACAATGGTTAATCTTGATATGTAGTTGTGAACAACTTCAAAACACTTAAGTTTAAAACTCTTGCAAGCACTTTTAATTGATTAGGAATGAATTCTAGATGCACAAAGATGATTGGACTGTGAACAGTAGTACAACTATATCTAAGAACAATTAACTCTTTCCGACCAAAAAAGAAACGTATGATGCATGAAAATGTGTATAAAACATCTATAGAATATTCTTGTCAAATATAAATGAAATTAACTTTATTATAGAAATCATTCTGGGAGATTTCTAGGGAAGACAAATACTTACATTTCGACATAAAACAAATCGGATTATATCGAAGACACAATCTACCTTTTATCTATCAAACTCTTTTCTTCATGGCAGCTCTCTCTTAACCCCTGTTTGCACATAGCTTCAGCCGTTAACAACCTTTGGAAATACCAACAGATATTTTTTCTTACATAAATCTAGTGCGTGTTGTTCCAGGTTTAGTTATATGCAATGGAATGATACAAACTTGGAACGTCAATCCATAATCTATGAACAGATTGGTAGAAGTATTCGATATATCTTGATAAAACTCTTAAATTCGTGGCAAAGCTTGTTGATCATGGCTTCTTTTTTTTTTTTTTCCTTTTCTTTTTTTTTTTTTAAACAACTTCATGACCAACACAGATCAAACATCCATCCAGTCTACATTGTTCTTTTTTTTTTTTCATTATAACATACAAATGCCCATTTACAAATAATACACCAAAATGAATAAAAGTTTGGATACCAAAATGAAGATTTGTTCCAACTGATATAATGCCTTCAGTGTACAAAGGTCCATGTGAAAGTCTTTTCCATGTGTTACAGCATAGGGCACAGTTGCAGTACAGAAGTACTCTGAGAGCCATTCTTCCTTTATAAAATACTGCTGAACATCCAGCTGTTGTCCATATAGTCATTTACGGAATTAACACATGTTTTACTGTAATCTTGGCCAGTATTGAGACATATCAGGTTCACTGCCAGGAACTTGAACTGGAACTGACACTCCAGGGGAAATGAGACCTGAAAATTGAGAGGGAAAATGGATATTTTAGTTTTTTCTATACATAGCATGATTTTTGCTTTACGGTTTCACAGATTTGGGCTTGTATTCCAGCAAACATCAAATTATTGCAGCAAACATCAAATCTCACCATCTACCAGCCTGTGGAACCAGGGGTTGGGGGTGTATATACTTTAGAAATTATGCACATCTCACTGATTGTTGTTATAAATAAACTTTCACACTTTGAGATAAATGCCAGAGCCTCGGCTCATTTGTATCAGTTGAGAATTGAGCCCAAAATACACAGAACAGTTCTATTCTTTTGAAAAGTGCCTGGATTGCTTCTGTTTCTGCTGACACTTGCCCTTTTTTACCCTGATTTGCCTTTTTTTATGCATGGGCTAATATTTCTACAGGTTCCCTGCCTCTTTGATAACTTCAAACCTTTAGCAATAAATAACGTCTGACACAGACATGGTAAAAACGTGCCCAGTACTGCAAACAGTTTCACATACACTTAACCTCACCACTGTGGATACCTCTGCTGCAATTTAATGCTGAAATAAATGCTGATTTAGAATTTAATTACACAGGGAAGATTTTGAGGGATGGGGGGGGGGGGGGGGGGCTCACTAAAGAGCTTGCCTCTGTCCTGCTATTTCCACATCACCTCTGTTAATCAGCTTTCTTTCCATCTAGCCCTCCAAGAAGCAGCTTAAAAATCAGAATTTTTTTGCTCTAGTTTGCAAGGTTATCCATTTTCATCTTCTGCCTGGTATGGCAGCAGTGAATGCCAGCAGAGAGACCTCCCCTAGTGATGGGGAGAGAGTTCTCCCAGCCAGCACAGGTGAATACCGATGGCTGGAGCAGGCAAGGCAGGCTGGCAGGGAGGCTGGGGAGCAGGGAGGTCACTCACCTGTGGAAGTGGTGCCAGAGGTGCCCATGGGCTGGCTGTTCATGTGTGTCTGCATGTGAGGAGGGGTGTATGTATCATAGCTCCGTCCATTCACCGATGGACTGGTGGGCAGCATGCAGGAGTAGGAGGAGGTCTGGCTGGGGACCGGGGGCTGTGGGGGCAAAGCACAACGTGGTTAGTGGCCCTGCAGCTAAAGACAGCATCACACCCTTGGGCATGGACGTGCCAGCCCTCAGACAGCAAAAAATCAGCTTCAAGTTTCAAATTCAGGCACCCCAGTGTAAAGACCTATTTAGGAGACAAACAAAGCAAGCCCTTCATGGAGGCTTTTGGGCTAAAAACCAATATGGACAGTTACTGGTGCTTTTTCAGACGTGCTTGGCGAGCAGATCCCTACATCCAGATGCTGATGGAGGTGTTACATCCCTAAGCCTGAGTGCTGCCCTCCTTCATACCCATCTTCCTTTTGGAAAATATCTCCTACCACTTGCAGCCAGAGACAGGGCCAGCATCTTACCTCCTACTTGGTGCTGTTACTAAAACGTAACTAATATTTTCATTACCTCACACTTGGTGTGTAAATAAAACGTAACTAACATTTTAGTTACCTCACACTTGTTGCTGTAACGAAAACACAACTAATATTCTAGTTACTGCACATGTATGTGCAGTACATACAAAAATGTAATTAACATTTTAGTTACCTCGCACTTGCTGCTGTAACTAAAGGCACTCCACTGAGGCACAGGGGCTGGTCCTGCATCTGCCAGCATGGAGCACATACACACAGACCACGTGTAGGGCTGAGGGGACTGTGCAGGGGAATCCCCTAAGCCCGTACATACGTGTGCATTGATCCCCATCAGAGCCTCAGCAACCCCAAACCTGTGCCAGCACCATCCCAGAACAGACATCTCCATTTACCTCAACTCCAACCCCTAAAACCCAATGTACCAGGGGGGACAGCAGCAGTGGCAGGGGCTGAGGGATGGCACAGTGCTGGAGAGGGACCAAGCAGAGCCTCCTCCTGCTCCAGGCTGCCGGGTGAGTGCTGACCAGCACAGCCCTGATGCAGGGAGGCAGCGAGGGAACAGGAAGCAGGATGAGTAATTCCCACCCAAAGCACAGCAGACCCAACATATCTGCACATGTTTCATGTCTGCACATCCCTGCCACGCACCAGCAGCACTCACTGAGAGCCCCCCTTGCTCTGGGAGAACACCCCACACTCCATGCACCCGCAGAGAGACCCCTCCGAGCCCTCCTGGCTGCCCTGCCATGACAACCACGCAGGCAGCATCTTCCAGCCAGCCTCACACGTGCTGTGTCCCTGCCCAGGTGCCCAGTGGTGAACCAGGGGCCTCCTGCTTTCCCAAGGGTCCCCTCCTGGATCAGCCTTTTGATCTTTTGTCGTCTGCTCCCAGCCCCGCTGCCGCGGACGGCGCCGCCGGCCTCGCACGTCACGGAGCAGCGACCCAGCCAGCGCCGCTTCTTTCCACAGACTTGCAAGACTCTAACTTTATTTGGTTAATTTTGGTTCAGCAATTAGTAACATCGTAATTGCCGCAGCGAAGGAGTCAGGCTCTCTAATCTGCTCGCCTGTCTCTAGCAGTGGTCAATGCTGTGCGCCTCAGACAAAGCTGCAAAACTCCCGTAATTGGCCAGCACCTTCCTAGGCCAACCCCACCATTAAAAAAGGAGGAATTTTGCATCTGAAAGGTCTATAGAAACAGACCCCAAAGGAATAGATTTCTTCCTAACCCAGCTGGTGATCAGCTAATGCTTTCAGGCATGAGGATTGACAGCTCTTGCAATTCTGGCTTAGCTGGCATAACCACTGATGCTAATCACATCCTTCCCTCTCTCAGGTGTTCCTAATGTGCCTCTGACACGTTACCTACATCCAGAAGGTCGGATCCCTCCAGCAGCTTATCCAGGCAGCAATTTCCACAATGTGGCATCAGCGAGTTCCAGAGGTTAACCACATATTGTTTTTCCCAAACAGCATTTTTTTAATCCCAGATTTGTTGCCTTGCAAATCTGAGGACTTTTGTCTTTGGAAAGCTGAGAAAAGTGCTTGTTGAGCACCACATCTTTCAGCGCCCTTTCCCTTCTGATTCCCCCAAATAGGGCATCTGAAAAGATGCCAAGGGAGTGGTTGGGTGCAGGCTTCCCTGCAGCACGGTTTGGGTCTGTAATCCCTCGTGGCATGGAGGAAGGGTCCTCACCCACACTCCCACACAGCCCAGAGACTGCTGAGTGCCCAGGGAATGCCATGCCCTGGCGTGGCACTGGACTTACTTGCATAGGCAGGTTGTTGGCCATGGTGAAGCTGGGCATGGGCGGCAGTGCGCTGTACGTGTTCGTGAGCGCCGTGTCCGTCCTGCCCAACATGGAACCTGATGTGAAAGAGGAAACTATAATAGAATAGACAGATAGATGGACACATTAGTTTAACCACAATTACAACTGGCAGCACAGCCTCAGAGTCTCATTTGGCCCAGAGGATGGATGGATGGATGGATGGATGGAAGGAGGTGAGCGGGTTGGGGGCATTACCGGGGGTGGTTGGTTGTGGGATCGGCTGGTAAACGCTTGTGCTGAAACTACTACTGATGGGAATGTGGCTGGGAGTGTTGCTGGCTTGTCTTCGCTGGTTCCTCAGCTTCTCTTCCCTTCTCCACTTGGCCCTTCTGTTGGAAAACCACACCTGGAAATACAGCATTTGAGAGATGTGAGTGACCTTACAAGGACTAGAGGCACGGGGCCTCCCCCACGCAGCTCACGCAGCGGGTGAAAGCAAACCAGCTGCTGCTATATTCCTGAAGGAGGGGTATGGGCAAATATCTGATCATAATTATGGGTTGCCCCATGCTTTGAGAAGCCAGGAGTAACAAAATCAGAGTAGTAATAGTAAAAATAATAATAGTCACAATTGCAGAGCAAATCAGTACCTGTATCCTTGCTTCAGGCAGGTCTATTTTAGCAGCTAGTCTCTCTCTTGCAAACACATCAGGATAGTGGGTCCTCTCAAATTCTGCAGAAGGAAATGTTCTTGCATTAGCTGTACAGTTGATGTGGCTGACTGTAAAACCAGAGCTGTTCCTGCTCTGCCTGTGCTCTGAATGCTCCTAAGAAGCATCACTGTAAGGGCAAAGCTGAGCTTTCTGCCTGTGTGTTAGCAAGGAGGATGCCTTGCCTGCTGGGGAGCATTGCCATGGGGATGGGCAGGCTTGGGTGCAGTGCTGCATCTCTCAAGAAGCAGCCAGGGCTTCTGCCTCCACCGAGGGGGTCCCCAAGGCAGCTCTGACCCTGTCACCAAGAAGCGAAATGGCACGTCGCTGGATAACAGCGCAAACCAGGACAAAGCTCCGCGGCGGGTCAGGGGCGAGGTGCGCCCAGGCCGGCCAGGGAAAAGGGCACCTGCTCCCAGCCCCGGGCACTGGGGATGGGGACTGAGGTGGGGGCAGGCATGGAGGACTCTGCCAGCCCCCTGCCTGCCCTCGCCTCCCCAGCAAGGCAGCACTGTGGATGGGAGGAGGGTTAACCCCCCAAGAGAAGCCCGGGGTGCAGCATCGGTGGGATGCGTGCCCTGAACACCTCGCCTTTGAAAACCATTTTAACAGCTTTGCCAGGCACGCCACGGCCAGCAATGAATATTTGGAGCTCTGTGAATAAAAGAGCATGGAGGGAGCCGCAGAGTTCAAATATATACGTATATATAAGGCACAGGGATGCCATGCTTGCATTCGGCTGGTAATGTAGTCGGGGCACATTTTGTTTTCTCTCCTGCTTCAGCCATAGGAAAATGTCACTCACCTTTCTCAAGGGCTTCTATTTGCTCTTGGGTAAAGGATGTCCTATTTCTCTGCAGCTTCCTTTTCAGCTGGAGTCTCATTTGGGCCTCGTCTGAGTCTTCTCCATTAGAGCTGATGGAGTTAGTGTTTTCCCCTCCTCCCTCCTGTTGCGGACAGCCATCTGTGGAACCGAGAGAGTCGGAAAGTGAAATGCAGGTACCCTTGTTTGAAGATCCCTATCAGAGAAATAATGCGACTGGAAACGAGTTCAGCCATGTTTGCTGACACCCTCCCTTGAAAATGTCTCGGGTATCAAAGCAACGCAGTGCTAATGGCACAGGTAACACGGAAACATTTCTGTTCCCAGCCTTACGTAAACATCGGAGATGAGGAATTACCATCACCTGGTCTTAATTTCATTTTGTTTTCCCTCTGGAATAAAACCTGCATAAAAATACTTTCCCCTGAAAGTGATTCTTTCCATGAATCCCTGCTGGAGTGCCATGGCGGTCTGCTGCATTTATTTACCTATTGCTATATTTAAAATAGTGATGTTCAGTATTTCAGATTATCTATAATCAGTAATTCCTATCTAATCAATTAGATGTTGATAGGTTTGCAGAAAATGCTATTAAGAAACCAAACCAAGCTTGTAATCTTTTAAAAAAAATATTTATCCAGTTTTTATTTGAATTCTGCACAGTCAATTTCATTTTAAAGGTTGTGAATTTAGAAGTGCCTGCATTGTTCTGCAGTTTTATTCAACTATTGTATGAGTGTGCATTGCCTTGACACCTATTACTGAGCACAGCTGTAATTATATCATCACCAAGAACAGGCTATAATTGCTGAAAATGGAATTTTATATTTAGATAAAAGGACTGTCCATTCTTTGTAATGTGTTGCACCAGAGAAAAGTAAGATTTCTTTTAAAATTTTAACATGTAATTTTAAAAGAAATAGTAGCGAGTTCACTAACTAGCTAAATACGCTGTTCTGCAGCTGAGCGCTTGGCATATCATTTAAGTGGTACATTTTTAATTAGGGCATTTCCACCACTTTTAATGTAATTTCTGTCATTAAACAGGGGAAAGTTTCATTGTGCTCGGCTCTCGGGCAGGGGCGGCGGCGGCCCGGGGCCGGCTGCTCTTGGGGGGCTCTGCGGGCACCCCCGGCCGCCGGGGCCGGAGGGACGGAGGCTGCCGGCGAGGCAGAGAAGTCCTTGTCCTAAATGAGCTCTCCCTCTCCTTTCAAAGCATATTTTTCGAAGCGTTTTGATGTCGCATAAAGAGGGAGCCGGGGTGAGGGACGCATGGGCTACTTATGCTAATTCCCTTGAAAAGTTACGCCAAAAATAAATAGCGACACTCCCGCGACATCCTTTAAATATTGTGGGAAATCAACTTTAAAGTAATATCATTTATAATCGGCGAACAATGGCCCCGGTCTTCAAAGCTCGGGGGGAATTGTGACAGGATCTGGTGGGACCCTTTCAACCACTTTGAAATGTTTTAAAACCCGAACTTTCTCCTCCATTTAAACACAGGGATTCAGCGGCCGTGGTCACCATATGGGCGGCCGCAGCCCCATTGAGGCGGCCGGCGGCGGGTGAATAGCGGGGGGGCGGGGGGAGCCGCTTTTCAGGGCACACAAAGCCCCGGGCCCGGGGACGGCCGCCGCGGCGGGGCAGCGCCCTGCCAAGCGCGGGTGGCAGCGCCGGGGGCCGCGCCCGCCCGCGGAGGGGCCGCGCTCACCTCCGCCACCGCCCTCATCCATCACTGTCCGCTCGGGCCGCGCCCGCAGCGCCCGGGGGCCGGGGGGGCGCCCGGGGGGATGGACGCGGCCCCCGAGCCGGGAGGGGCACAGGGGGAGCCCACCGGGCCGCTCCCGAACCGGGCGCCCCCGCCCCGAAGTTTTGAGGCCGTACTTTTCCGCCACCCCGTCTCAGTGCGCTCCCCGTCTCCCCAAAGTCTTTCGGCCAACCTGAAGTTCCACCTAAACTCGCTTGTGGTCATTTCCAGCTCGTCCCCCCAAAAATCTTTCGGCCAACCTGAAGTTTCATCTAAACCCGCTTGTGGTCATTTCCAACCCGTCCCCCCAAAAATCTTTCGGCCAGCCTGAAGTTTCATCTAAACTCCCTTGCGGTCATTTCCAACCCCGTCCCCCCAAAATCTTTCGGCCAACCTAAAGTCTCACCTAAACCAGTTTATGGTCATTTCCAACCCTGACACCCCAAAAATCTTTCAGCCAACCTAAGGCATCACCTAAACTCGCTTACGGTCATTTCCAACCCTGTCCCCGCAAAATCTTTCAGCCAACCTAACATTTTAGCTAAACTCGCTTATGGTCATTTCCAACCCTGTCCCGGACAATTAAGATATCTTCTTTTTAGACACACACCCCTTCTTTTCTTTTTTTTTTTTTTTTTTCTTTGAGTTTTGGTTGTTTGGTTTTTTTTTTAAAGCCCCTAAAAGAAGCTATCTCAATAGGGCTGTTCCACCTTCCAGACCTAATCCGTAAGAAAGCAAGTGAATGTCCGTCCCTATTATCCTATAGCCAGACCATCTGACGCTGGGTATAGGATTTGTTTCCTGGAAAAAAAAAAAAAAAAAAAAAAAAAAAAAAAAAAAAAAAAAAAAAAGACGCTGGGAAATAAAATCATTCCTTAGTTTCTTAGTGTCTTAATCAGTGAGGCGGAAAACAAGCAAAAAAAGATAGCAAACCAATTGCAGCACCTCTCAGCTATAGAGCCGGGATCAAAACATTGTAGCATCTGTTGAAAGAGAAAGTGTCTAAATCCTATAGAAGGCTTTAGTCTTATAAGAGAGGGAGGGGAGAAAAAAAGATAAGAAACAGTGTCTCGGTGATCCCTAAAACCACTAAATCACTGGAGAATTTCTCCCGGATAGAGATGTCTCTTTTTGTTCTGTCAGCCCTCATGTATCCATTATTTTATTCACTGCTGCATGGCGTTTATCAGATTGAGACCATATTTGTACCCCTCTGAGACCTAACCTCGCCTTATGCTTTTTGAGTAATGGACTCTTAAAATCCAGTAACATACCCCTGCTAGGGAAAAACATTAGAGGGAGCATGAATATTCCAGAGGAAATCCATTTTATTAATTTTAATTTTGCCATGCGGATGTTTTAAGTGCCTGCCTGCCTCCCCCTCGCCTCTGCTGCCCACGCACACGCACGGCCCGAGCCCTGCCCGCCCCGCACCGCCTCATTTGCGGGTTTCGGACAGGGCTCCCGGGGCCCTCCGGCCGCGCATCCCCTGCGGAACCTGCGCCGGTCCCCAGGCCAGGGGAAGGGTCCCCCAAAGAGCCGCCGGTCCCCGCAGGTCCCAGCCCGGGCACAGCGGGCTCTGCCGCAGCGCGGCCGCGGCCAGGAGCCGCCGGGCCCAGCTGTGCCCGCTCCGCACCCGCGCAAGGGCTGCGCCTGCGAGCAGCGCTCTGCGGCGGGGAGCCCGACATTTCTCCTTCTAACCCTTTCCTAAGGGAAAATAAATAAATAAAAACGCCAAATCGCTCGGCGGCCGGGAGCCGCGGTGGGTGCGCTGCCCCGCTCCGCGCTCCGCATCGCGGCTGCGGGCAGCGAGAAAAGGGCACCGGGAGAGCCCGGGCAGGGCAGGGGCCGCCCCAGGTAAGGGCGAGGCCGGGGCGGCCCCGGTTCCCGGGGTGGACATCGGGCACACAACAAAATGCCAAAAGAAAACCCCACAACCGAACAACAAAAAAACACCGAAGCGGGGGTGGGGGGAAGCGAGGGCTCCGCTCTATCTTTCTAGTGTCCTTCATAGACTGTTTTCTTCTCTTAAAACTGACATGTCTAATTGGCAAGCGGTGCCATATCGTGTCCAGAGGTCTCCTGTGGAACATTTCTACAGCTGTCTCCTTCAACTAGACGCTTATTCATGTCGCCTTAATGAGAAACAAAACGATCTCTAATGAGCAATTACATAGCGACAGAATTGTTCCCATAACAAATTCTTGCGTGTGACAGAAACATCCTTTGTACCAGATATTCCGCACACTGTTACCGATTTTTTTTTCCTTGCGGGGTGAAAACAAAAAGCAGGTTGTTGTATATAGACACCTCTTCTAAAGGAATGACCAGAGCCAGGGAGAGCCTCAACAGAGCCCGCATTCAAAAAGAAGCCATTAACCATCTCAAGTATGTAACGTAACATCCCATTATCCTTCATATTATCCCCTTGTCATTCCTACAACAAATACCTATTAATCTTCAGGATAAACAGTTTCCTATATTTACAAAGTTGTTTCGGGTCCATTGAGGAGGAATTACAATCAGCCCTACGGAGATAGTTCCCGATGGCCCCGGCTTTGGGGAGAGACCCCGGCGCGGGGAGGCGGCCCGGGCAGGGAGCGGCAGCCCCAATTACCGGGCGATGGGCGAGGTTCAGGCTCAGCCCCGCATCCCGCCAGGCTGCCGGCACCGCGGCTTTGGCAGCCGATGCTGCCGGGCTCCCCCTGCCCACCGATGGACGCCCACCGCCCCGCACCCGCCTGCCCGCAGCCCCCCGCGGCCGGGAAAGGGGCAAGGCGGACCCATTTCCACCGGACGAGGCCGAACCGAGCCGATCCGGGCCGGCCCGGGCTGGGAGCGGCCGCCGCGCTGTGCCTTACCTTGAGTGGGCTGCCCGGGTACCGAGGTGCCGGGATACCAGCCGGGCCGGGTGCCCCAGGTCCCCGTCTGCCCGTTCAGCATCCTTAGCTTGTCGTACATCCCGTCGGCACCCATCTGTTGCTTTTCGCTAGCCAGGTTGCGTAGGACTCTGTTTATCGACGACACCTGGAAGGCAAAGGACAGGAAAGGCAATGGTAGTGCGGTAGCGCGCTCCCCGCCAGGCACCCGCGCAACCCCCGCGTCCC